TTAAGGGGCCATTGCAGTTGGTGAAGCAGCAATGGGAGGGATTTACACCTTCTCCAGGAACTAACATTCTGGACTTTGTAACCAACCTACAAAACACCCTCCGAACCTCTTTAGCCCTTGCTAGAGAAAACTTACAGGATGCTCAAAAAGAGCAAAAGGCCTGGTATGATAAACATGTCAGAGAGCATTCCTTCAAAGTAGGAGACCAGGTCATGGTCTTAAAGGCGCTCCAGGCCCATAAAATGGAAGCATCGTGGGAAGGGCCATTCACGGTCCAGGAGTGCCTGGGAGCTGTTAATTATCTTATAGCATTCCCCACCTCCAACCGAAAGCCTAAGGTGTACCATATTAATTCTCTAAAGCCCTTTTATTCCAGAGAATTAAAGGTTTGTCAGTTTACAGCCCAGGAAGGAGACGACGCTGAGTGGCCTGAAGGTGTCTACTATGAAGGGAAATGTGCTGGTGGTGTGGAAGAGGTGAACCTCTCCATGACCCTTGGGCGTATGCAGCGACAGCAGATCAAGGAGCTGTGCACTAGCTACGCGCCAACGTTCTCAGCCACCCCAGGACTGACTGAACGGGCATACCACTCCATTGACACAGGTAATGCTCACCCAATTAGAGTCCAACCTTACCGGGTGTCTCCTCAAGCTAAAACTGCTATAGAACAGGAGATCCAGGATATGTTACAGATGGGTGTAATCCGCCCCTCTGAAAGTGCATGGGCATCTCCAGTGGTTCTAGTTCCCAAACCAGATGGGGAAATACGTTTTTGCGTGGACTACCGTAAGCTAAATGCTGTAACTCGCCCAGCCAACTATCCAAAGCTTATATTCTACCAGCTTAAGTTAAAAATTCTTTTCCTTGCCCTTGGATGGTATTGCTGCCACCAAGTGATTTACATGAAAATTCAGGGAAGGGTCACTTGGAATCCCTATTCCCCAAAAATATCCCCCCAAGCCCATTCACCCCCTTTCCTGGGGAGGCTTGAGAATAAACTACCAACCAACTGCCTTAGCAATGTGAGCCCAGACCAGACCCTTTGTCTACGAGACACTGAAATCTACCAGGTTCTTAAAAGAAGAACTTTATTTAGAAAGGAAAAAAAAAAATAAAAGAATCACACCTGCAAAATCAGGATGGAAGGTAACTTTACAGGGTAATAAAAAGATCTGAAACACATAGGATTCCCCACTGGGCTCAGCTTCACAGTTACAAAAACAGGAATAAAACCACCTCTGTAGCAAAGGAAAATTCACAAGCTAAAACAAAAGATAATCTAAAGCATTTCCTTGCCCTACTTACAATTTCTATGAATTTAGATGGATTATTCCAGGTATATTTTCAGGAGATGTTGTACCTGCTTGGCTTCTCCCGCCGTCCGTAGAGGGGAACAACAAAGAGAGAGAACAAACAAAACCTCCCCCCCCCCAAGATTGGAAAGCATCTTCTTTCCTCATTGGTCCTTCTGGTCAGGTGCCAACTAGGTTATTTGAACTACTTAACCCGTTACAGGTAAGGCGATTCAGTATAGCTGCCAAGGAGGGGCTTTATGCTACCCTTCTCTCTATATTTGACACCTCCAACAACAACAACAAAAAAATTTAGCTGTAGGGAGAGAACTCCAACTCCAGCTATTTGGCAGCCACAGGGGTAGAATTTCTGCTTCTTTTTTCCTTTTAACAGGCCAGCCAGCCATTAGTTAAAAACAACTATTTGAAATTTGCGAATATCTTGATCAAAGATACCAGCTCAAGTACAAATTGAAGGTCTAGGGTAAAAAAGTGAACACGGGACTATAATTCCTAAATAAAAAAAATGCTTACTAATCTTTAAGATAAACCCAAACTAAAAAGACATCATCAACTTGAAATCCAGAGTTTTTTGGTTTTTTTATGGTTTGAAGTAATTTCAGGCACTACATAAGAATGGCCACACAGGGTCAGAGCAAAGGTCCATCTAACTCAGTATCCTGTCTTCTGATAGTGGCCAATGCCAGTGCGCCAGAGGGAATGAACAGATAATCATAAAGTGATCCATTCCCTGTCGCTCATTCTCAGCCTCCGGCAAACAGAGGCTAGGCACACCATCCCTGCCCATCCTGGCTAATAGCCATTGATGGACCTATCCTCCATTAATTTATCTAGTTCTTTTTTGGACCCTATTATAGTCTTGGCCTTCACAACATCCTCTAACAAGGAGTTCCACAGGTTGACTGTGCATTGTGTGAACAAATACTTCCTTTTGTTTGTTTTAAACCTGCTGCCCATTAATTTCATTTGGTGACCCCTCATTCTTGCGTTATGAGAAGGAGTAAACAACACTTCCTTGTTTACTTTCTCCACACCAGTCATGATTTTATAGACCTCTATCATATCCCCCCTCCCCCTTAGTTATCTTTTCCAAGCTGAAAAGTCCCAATCTTATTACTCTCTCCTCATATGGAAACTGTTCCATACCGCTAATAATTTTTGTTGCCCTTCTCTGAACCTTTTCCAATATATCTTTTTTGAGATGGGGTGACCACATCTGCACGCAGTATTCAAGATGTGGGTGTACCATGGATTTATATAGAGGCAATATGATATTTTCTGTCTTATTATCTATCCCTTTCTTAATGATGCCCAACATTCTGTTCACTTTGACTGCCGCTGCACATTAAGTGGATGTTTTCAGAGAATTAGCTACAATGACTCCAAGATCTCTTTCTTGAGTGGTAACAGCTAATTTAGACAGCATCATTTTATACGTATAGTTGGGATTATGTTTTCCAAGGTGCATCACTTTGCATTTATCAAAATGAGAGACGTGTGTCTCTCTGCCATTATGTGACTATACAATCACAGTTTCTTATTTTTAACACTTTTTCTCTCTCTTGCTGTTGCTATGTAAGAGATGCACACAAGCAGGAAGAAACTGACTGCCTATTTAGGGGAAATAGTGAAACTAAGGGTTGTTAAAAATAAATTTTAATCTTTTTCAATCATAATTTTAGTTCTTACTTGTAATAGTAGGCATAGAATTTTCAGAGAGAAGTGGAATTTTTAAACTGACAAATGTTATTTCTATAGGAGATTATTCTGATACCTAATTTAAGACAAAAGTCCCAAACGGTTATAATTATAAAGACAATTATAGTCAGCTACATAGTTTTAAAACTAACAGTGTGAGGAGTATTAGTAGTAATAAAATACTTTACCTCCCCAACTGAAATTTTAGAGATGGCAATTAAGTAGAAAACAAAAGCACTGTAAGAACAATTAAAACCAAAACAAGTTATGCAGATGAACATGAAATTCAAATCCCTCTCTTCAAAAGGAAAGCCCTGAATCATCCAGGGCTATTTACTACAGACTGGTTTTAAATGGTTAAAAATTTTGATCAGCATATATAATATTACTGTCATATTATATAAGATGGTTTCATACAGGGCTGTCCCTACACGGGTGTGGGGCCTGGGGTGGAAGTGATGGATTCATCTCTTCTGGGAGTGACCGCGCTGGCCAGTTGCACTGGCCTGCGCGACGCCCTAAAGTGCAGGGCCTGGAGTGGGGGGCCCCTAGGGCGGAAGTGATGGATTCGTCTCTTCCAGGACCGATCACACCGGCCAATTGCACCGGCCAATTGCACCGCCCACGGGGCCCAGAGCAGTCGCCCCGATTTGCCCTACCCAAGGGACGGCTCTGGTTCCATATCTTTCATCACCAAATAAAATAGACGAACTTTTATTGTACTCTACTGGATAACCATACAATAGCACTTACAGTACATAGCATTTTAGTCAGATGAATAAAATGCTTTGAAGCATGCTGTATATCCTGCAATAATGTGGATGTCACTATTTCACCATGTTTATTCCTCCCCACCCCCAACAACTGTTCCTCAGACATTCTTGTCAACTGCTGGAAATGGCCCACCTTGATTATCACTACAAAAGGTCCCCGTCCCGTTTCCCCCTCCCTCCCCCCCACTCTCCTGCTGGTAATAGCTCACCTTACCTGATCACTCTCCTTACAGTGTGTATGGTAACACCCATTGTTTCATGTTCTCTGTGTATATAAATGTCCCCACTGTATTTTCCACTGAATGCATCCGATGAAGTGAGCTGTAGCTCATGAAAGGTTAATCTCAAATAAATTTGTTAGTCTCTAAGGTACCACAAGTACTCCTTTTCTTTTTACTATTGCTACTGACACCTGAAGTGGTTAATACCATTTATTAATTTATTTTGTGGTAGTGTAATTATGATGCATTTCTGCAGTAGCATACATCTGATATTAGGAGGTGGGTGAAAGCAGCATTTGACATGTGTTTACTTTAAATTGAAATGGTTATTATAAAAAAGACTACATTTTGTAATCCTGTGGGTATGAAAAACAATACAGCAACTAATTTATGCCCCCCACTGGTTGTTTCTTAAACTAGTTGGTTGAATTTAAAACAAAAAACCCCACCAATTCCATAACTTATTTCTTGCATAATAAACAAAAATACTAAATCTGAAGTCATCATGCAGGCAAACTCAGGAAAAAGATCATGCTATGTCAGATTAAAATTTTATGTAAAACATTACAATTGTATTAAGTGTTAAAGACTGTTTCTGCCCCCTCTGAATGAGCCTAATAAGCAAATAGGAAAACTATTAAAAACAGCCCCAGAATAGTCCCCCTTTTTTTGTTGCAGAAGTATAAAGGTTTCCTTCTACATTCACATAATCATGAATCAGTTGCTCATATTATAGTGAATACACTCTTGGCTCTAACCCGCACTGCTTACTCAAGCAAAACTCCCAATAGCTACATAGAAAAAACAATGCTAGGAATGTTATCTAATATTTTATCTGTCTTCAATAGGATTTAGGAACTGGAAACAAGGAAGAGAAACAAAACTATGAGAATCAGCCTTTTTACAAGCCAGTTTGGGAACCATTGGGCTAAAACATGAAGCAGAATGGACTGTTACTGTACAAACTTAGGATGAAGTAGGAAAGTTGCACTTACTTTTTTGATGAGAGTATGGGCATGTTTATCTTGACATCTGCATTAAAAGAGAAAATGTTATTTACAAGTGTTTTGGCAATGCAACGATCTACATGCATGGATCTGCAATTAATAATTAGGACAAACCAAGTGGATATTACTAAAACTGTCAAGAGAGTGGAAAGTAGTATGATTTACCTTGCCACTTAGCAACCAATAAAGGGTCTGAAATATTGTATTCTGGTCTGCTTCTCGAAAGGATACCTTTTCCAAAATAGCCCTGCAGGTGCAGGGAAAAAAAAGTTGATCAGAATTATTGATACAGAAAATAGAAAGGAATATCTATCCAAAGATCTAGATGCCCCTATCATAAATTACAAAAACACTATTAGATCAACCACCAAACTCACGCACCCCAAAACATGCGAATTCTCTCAAAGGCCCACCTCTGCAGCAGCCCATGTAAACGTCTTGCAGTATGCGGCGAAGGTCAATAGATATGGGCTATTTCAAAACAGGAGTGAAAATCTGTTGCAAAGCTTAGTGTCCCCTCACAGAGAATGCACTACCACCAGCGCCTTCTCTTTTAAACTGAGAGGTAGTCAGCTTGAGTGCCACTGCCAATTTCATCTGTGGTATTATGACACAAGGATAGAGGCGATCTTTCAAGTAGTGAGGTGCCAAATGATTTGCGGCTTTATGCATCAAACCCAGCACCTTAAATTCAATTCAGAAGCCAAAAGGTATTCACAGCATATCACGGAGTACCAGTGATATGTGCGGCCATGTAATGGCCATGCCGCTGCATTCTGCGCCAGCTTAAGTTTCCTGACTGATCTAAGGTTTGTTATTTAACGTCTAACAATTAACAATTAATCCAATATTAGGCACATAGAGTTGAGATTAAATAAATGTTTTCTTTATTAATCCTAAACATTTGCATAAGCATAAAACTTTAATAGTTTTTTAATCAAGATGCTATTAATAAGTTTTAGAATATATTATTTTTATACTGATTACTAAGTGAGGTTCCAAGAACAGGAAAGTCCTTGAATGATATTCAATTACTATAAATCCTATTGACCTTATTATTCTATTACCTTATTATTGACCTTATCATTGGGCATTAGGAATAAAGAATTATCTTTATTGCTAGTTTTATGACTTCTGATGCTGTATTACCATTTTGCTCTAAAAAATTTTTTTTTCAGGTTAGGAATAAAATGCTTATAAATTTCATATGGAACACAGATCAAACTACGCTAGAGAACGTTGTGTACGGAGAACGTTAGCGATACCACAAACAGCATGCATTGAACATAGAGAATTCAACCATGGAATGTCACCTTGCTATACAGCTGTTCTATGTCTTCGGGGTTCCTCACAATTACATTGTTGTTAATAACTTCAGCCTGGTATATCTTGAAATCCTTCCCACAGATGTCTTCCTGGGAGGCAGGAATAGGGAATGGCGAATCATATGACTCAAACACTCTTCTTTTCCTTCTTGGGGCATGGAAAACTGTTTCTGCCATTTCCCAATAGTAATTTTCCCTATACAATGATAAGGTAAAGAAAGAGCAGAAAGAGACATTTTTAATATTTTAGAAGCTGGTTTATTTTACTTACCTGGACATCATTTTTGGCATTGCAAATCAGCAATAAAACCCAGGTCTCCCAACTCCCATTCTCTAATCACTGCACGATACACCAAGAATTATTTCTTTAACAAGTTATTCTCATTTTCTGTATTGCAGCTGGACCTAAAGGCTAGGTCCCATTGTGCTATCCATTGTACAAACATACAGCAAAGAACCAGTCCCTATTGAAAAGAGTTTACAATCTAAGTTTAAGAGGAGATACAACAGGTGGATACGACAGACAGGGTAGCACAAGGTAACAGTAAGACAATTACAATGAAAAGGAGTACTTGTGGCACCTTAGAGATTAACAAACAAGTACTCCTTTTCTTTTTGTGGATACAGACTAACACACCTGCTACTCTGAAACAGTTACAATGAGCACCAGTCCCACTATGCTGCTTAACTATTGTTAAGTGTTTTGTAGGCATCATGACAGGGGTGAAAGAATTTTAAAGAGCTTTTTAAAAAGAACAATGTGGTGCTTTGGAGATTTTTTTTTTTTTAAACCAGAAAAGCTCCTTCCATGCATAAGTAGTGGTATAGGAAATAGCACAATAGTACTCTTCAAAAATTTGACAAATGGGCAATCAACAGTGGTGTCACTGGTGGCAAATCAGAGGCTGTTGTCTACATCTCAATAGTGTAGACAAGGTAACAGGGAGGGCATTTCTATGTTGACTGTTATTATTAAAGACATGCCTACTGCCACAAACCCATCAACAATATAGCACACATAACCAAAAAGATGGGAAGGCATAGCCAAACCTTTTTTAAAAAGTGCTCTGTTCTTCCTGTGGGAGACCAGTAAACCAAATAACCAGCTAGATAACATTTGTAACACACACTGCCTTATTCTCTACTATTGGGCACCCTGTCTAACTTAGGCCCGTGCAAAGTAGATGTAAAATCACAACCAGACCAGACGTGTCCTCTCCCCCCAGCCTTTTAACATCTTCTTTGCATAGCACCACCCTGTGCCAGGCTCTGGGAATCAGGCACTGCCTTTCCCTACTTATCACAGGGTATGTTTACGGCAGCACGCAAATAACGAACGCAGAGGGGACAGGCCATGTCAGTGCAAAGTCCAGTCACTGTTACACTGGGACATCAGCAGCATCACCATACTGCGCATACAGGCATCATCAGGCGGTCGTGGCAGGGGGTCTCCTCTCCACAGAGCGGGGCACAGCGGAGGTGCTGGGCGCCACCAAGGGAGGCTCGAGGCCTGATGTTCTAGCCCTGTGTCCGCCATGCGTGCAGGCCATACACCTACTCTGAGGCGCGGAGTGACTCTCGCCGGCCCCCCTATGGCGGTGGCTGAGGCTGAGCCGTGTCACGGGCTCCCCAACGCCACAACAGCCTGTTCTTCTAGACTAGGCGCCCTTCCGTTACCATAGCAACCACGGGGCCGTAAAACAGCGACGACGTCGCAAAACAAACCAACTAGCGGCGCGAGGGAGCCACGCGACCTCTTAGGCTTAAGCCCAGCCTCTCTCAGGCCCCCGTTTCTTCTCGCGCGCACAAGTGGGGGAGCGAGCTTGGAAGTAGTTAACGCTAGCTTCCGCGCATGCGCGCTTGACTGGCTCTGGGAACGGAGGAAGCTGAAAGGCAGGCCGAGAGACCACCCCCAAATTACAAAGGGGCCGCGCCCAGTGGGCCGGGCGCTGCCAAATGTGGGGGGTGAGGAGGAGCCTTCGTCGGTCCGCCCCACAGTTTGGGGGAAGGGGCCTTATCACCCCACCTCACGGCGGGGCGGGCCCTGGGGCAACCCCAAATCCCTCGCCCCCCTTCTGCCCCGCTCCCACAGAACCTGGCTGCGACCAGACCAGCGTTCGGGTAGGAAAGGCGAAGCGGGTCGGTGGGGTAACGCCGCTCCTCATGTCCACCCGCCCACGTGTGGCGTGGCTGAGGCTCAGCGCTGTTGCAGTAACAGCTAGAGGGCTGGCGCAAGCTGGCCGGTGTCTGTTGGAACAGTATTCATTGACCGGTTGCTTTTTTCAGAGAAATAACTTGCGAATAAAACCAAACAAAAATCTCTTCCAGTGACATTTTCTATACAACTGCTTCCTTCTGTGGAGACCCACTTTACATATGCTTCTGCACAGAGTTCAGTTAAGCTACTGTGAATTTTGATTCGCTTATCAGATAGGCAAGAAGAAAAGGAGTACTTGTGGCACCTTAGAGACTAACATTTATTTGAGCATAAGCTTTCGTGAGCTACAGCTCACTTCATCGGATGCATTGGGGGGGGGGGAGACACAGACTAACATGGCTGCTACTCTGAAATTTATCAGATAGGCTAATGCCAAAAAATACCTTGTTCATTTCTTCCATAGTATACAGAAAGCAATTGTTTACTCAGAAACATGTGAAACTTTTTTGTTCACTCTCTGATCTCAACCATCAGCCTTATCTGTGAACTACAGCATTCTGGGAAGCAATACACAGTTGCCAACTTTCATGCAGTAAATAAGCACCCTGACTTTCACAATAAGCCAAAAATCAAGCCAATCCCATTTCAAAACAAGGCTAAAACAAGCCAATCCCTAAGAACCTCAACACTCTGACTAGATCGCCCAGGCGTGCAGTGTGGGACTGTGGTGGGCCTGCTGTGCACCCCTGACTCTCCCCTCCCTTGCCCCCTCCCTCCCCGCTTGCTAGGAGCCAATAGAAAAAAAGAAGCAACAAGTTACGAGTCCAAAACTAGCCAACAAGCAACTCACAAGCCAATTAAGCCAAAACCAAGCCCAATTTCTGCATTTTTTCCCACAGGTTTGGCATATCTGTAGTAATACGAAAATAAGCATATATCAAAGATACCCATTGGCTTCAGAACTCCCACTTGCAACACTGCTACAAGTTACCTTTAAACCAGGAGAAGCATCTACCCTTCGGTAACTATTTCACATTCTTAGGGCTTATTAGAAGAAATAGAAACTCAGCCTGGTATAAACTTCTGTAAAACTTTGCACATGTAGCGTTTCCTCTTTCTCAGGGATGTGAGTCATAACATTATAAGCGAACAATGTATTCCAGTAGAGCTTTTAGTTCATTTTGGATTGCATACAAAAGAAAAACTTCTAAGATTCCACAACATTTAGTTTAATAACAAACTGAAGTTTAGTTTAGTCTCTAGCTTTCACAAACTCATCTCAAAGTTTTCTTATCAAATATTAGCTGTAGTCCACACCAAAATGTCATACTTCTTTAACACCTTTTCAAAATAAAAACTCAGCCCTCTGTTATCAGGCAATATAGTCAGTGGGTGGAGGCAGGGTTGTGGTTATTTACATTAGCCAGTTCCAACTACCCTGAACTGACAGAAATTCCCATGGAAATTCTGGTTACGTTAACTTTGACTGAGATATGGGACTGTTTTTGGAAACTTTAAAAAACATCTAGGGAATACTTTTAACTTTTATTAATATGTGGTATCTGAATTTAGTTTATTAAAGACATAAATCAAAGTTGGCTGCTGCTTAGCTTCAACTGGTTTTCACAAGAGAAAAAAAAAAAAACAAGGAGAGAAGCCAGTCATATATCGGCCAAGTGTCAACCTTGTGAGAAATCCCACAATATGAGAAATCCTGGAGCCCTCAAAAATGAAGGAACGTGAGGTGAATAGTATTAGAATAGGATGTATCAAAAATGAATGTGTAATTACAGAATTTATTTCAGACTTGGCAATAGCCTTGTGTTCCCAGATATTGCAAGCACATAGGTGAGGAACTGTTAAGGATCATTCACTGCCTCCCATCTACATGCAGAACTCTCACTGGCATCCCATGATATTACCATAACCATCATGATGCATACACAATTATGTTTTCACCGTATATACTAGCCATCCAGCTACATTACACAGCCTTATACATTATACAAATGTGTAAGCTTTAATTTTCATGAGTTCTCGTTTCCCTGTTAGAGCACTGAGTTCCCATTCCCCTTCTCCTCATTCAAACACACCTAAGGCCCCAACCCACAAGTTTCTAAATGACTTCAAGTCCTTTTATATCAAGAGGAGTTGAGGGCACTTGGTACCACAAAGGATAGCCTGCACTAGAGGCCCAGTGGCAGATCCACTCTTTTTGACAGAGGAGTAAACTAATCCCTTTGTAGATCATTTAGTGTTTCTCCTTCATTAGTTTCCTGAATGGGGTGTGTTGCCTTCAATCATCGAATTTGCTGCTGGTCCAGTGAATAGGAGACCAGGTCACCAGCAAGGCAACCCATACATTTCCATTTAATTTTTTTTATCATCTCTCCTAGAACAAGGGAGATTGTAATAATTAGGTGCATCCACTAGATGTCCACATTTCAGCAAATTTCAGCCATAACACCTTAAAAGAATACAGTAGGCTCCCGCAGAGCATGTAGAACTTCCCTAGTCTATTGAAAAAAGTAAACAAAATTTTTCAGCTTACTGGGTTTTTTTCCCACGAATGGGTTTGTCAGGCTTTTGGTGTAAAATTGCACATGATTCAACACAACAGCCAAAAATAACTCCATTTTTATTATATTTATGATGCTAAATTTACAAAAGGAAACTTTTTGACTGACACACTCTTCAAGTACCTAATATCAGTGGTTTTCAACTAGGGGTATGCATACCCCAGGTGGTACGCACAGGTCTTCCGGGGGTACAAGAACTCATCTAGATATTGGCCTAGTTTTACAAAAGACTGCATTAAAAGCACTAGCAAAGTCAATACAAACTAAAATTTCATACAGACAAAGACTTGTTTATACTGCTCTATATATTATACACTGAAATGTAAGTACCATATTTATATTCCAATGGATTTATTTTATAATTATATGGTAAAAATAAGAAAGTAAGCAATTTTTCAGTAATAGTGTGCTATGACACTTCTGTATTTTTATGTCTGATTTTGTAAGCAAGTGAGGAGAAACTTGGGGGTATACAAGACAAATCAGACTCCTGAAAGGGATACAGTAGTCTGGAAAGGTTGAGAGCCACTGCCCAATATTAACTCACTGATTATATTCACTCTTCTTATGATTCTCCATCAGATGGCACACATACAGTATTAAAGAGCAAGAAAAAAATAGTGGGAAATTGGAAATTATAGTTTTGGTGCTAAATTTACAAAATGGCTTCAGTTTTGTCTCTAATTTTTCCCAATGTAGTTCCTTTTGCGTTCATTTCAGTGAGCACATTTCCACAACTCTGGCACACGTTTTTATAACTCTCATGCACAATGGTTAAGCACATACTTCAGACATCGCAGCTAGCTTCTAATATTGGTGTGTAACATTTGGCTGGTCATTTGACTGTTTGATTGGTAATGGGAAGAATAATTATACTAGCATGCATGTAATCATGGTAATTGAGCACACATGCTTTTGCACTCACAATTCTAAAATTGGGCCTGCATGCACACGTTTTTGGGTCTGATTCTCATTTCCACTGAGGCTCCTTTTCATTGTTCTAGCAGTGCAAAGGGGCCTTAAGGGGAGTGAAAATTACAACATTTACTACTCCCTTTTAAAGCATGTTCCCGTCTCCTGCCAAAATAATGTATTTAGAGCTCATGAAAGGTGACAGATCTTCTATTTATCTGCAGAACAGGCATAGATTAATAGATTCCAAGGCCAGAAAGGACCATTGTGATAATCTAATCTGACCTCTCTGGCAGCAAAATTTCTCCAAAACTGCTGATTTGCCTCATCATAGATCAGGCCTGAACAAGTTAGTAATACTCCCATTAAGTCCTAGGCCTATCTGGTGATACTGCTAACATGGGTACCAATTAATGTCCTCTGTGGTGATGTTTTTGTGATTGGGACTGTTGGGGGTTGGCTGTGTGCTCCAGGCTGGCAGTACTGCCTAATGGCAATACTCCAAGACATAATGCCTAATGGCAAGAGTCCAAGGGTCAATTTACCTGGCAGTTACAGTTCAGGGTAGTGTGGCCCCCTGGTGAGAGTCCAGAGGACGCCTTGCTCAGCAGCTATGATTCAGGATAATGAGACCCAGTGCAAGAGTCCAAAGGTCGCTTGGCCTAGTGGCTATAGTTTGGGGGTAGAGGAACCTGGGTCCACCTACTCCACTGGGTTTCAAACCAGGG